TTTTTAAATAGAAAGATTTGGTATTATAATGTAATACTAAGTAAATTAAAGAAGTTTTTTGTTTATAATTAGGAATTTAATATGGTAATAATTAGGTAACAAAAAATATGTATTAAATAATATTTATAATATTAGAATGATATAAATAATAAATTATTTTTAGAATAATGTAGATATTTATATTAATGATTTGATGTTTGAGTGTAGTGTGAAATTCGGATTAATTAGGAATTGTGAAAAAATAATTATCAATAAAAGTTGATTAATTTTTTAGAAGTATTTTTGAAAAAAACTTTAATATTATGAAAATACTATAAATATTTTTATTAATTAATTATAAATTTTATAATTATTTCTTATTATTTTATATTAAGTCAATCTTAAACTTATAATCAACTTGCAAAAAATATTAGAACAATTAAATGTATTCATTTCATTTATTATTATTCTTTTGATACTCATTTTACTTGAATAAATTATTAATTTAACTAAACCCTTTGAATTAAAATATTTATTAAAAATCTGGTGATTATTTAGAGAATTTCGGATATGGATTTGGTTATAATAATCTATTATTAAATCAACAATTTCTTTAATTAATTAATTATAAAATATTGTAAAAATATCAATTTTTTTTTGATTTTTATGAATTTGAAAATCAAACTATTTATCCAACGTTCAATTTAATTGAAAATCTTAATCATCTTTCTACATGTTATTATAAAAAAAATTGAAAGAAAAAAAAAATTAAAAATAAATTTGGGGGAAAGAAAAAGGATAAAGAAAGAAATCGGTTCAAAAAAAGAAAATAAGTACCGAAACCTAAACGGGTTTGAAAAAAGAACTAAACCGAAAAAAGAAAGGGAGAAAAATTTTTTTTCAGTTTGAAAAAAACAAAATTAATAATCAAAAAAAAAAAAAAATTCTTGGGAATGTACACGGATAAATAGATCAGGTGGAGGCATGTCACGGGTTTTAATTATATGGCATGAGATTTCAAGTTACACAATTCAAATTATTATGCAGAAGACTAATCCAAACGTCAGACAAATTTTTTTGGTTATATAGTTTTTTTTGCTTTAACAAAAAATTTATTATAGATTTAATTACAAAATATCTATATAATTAAAAACAATCTCACTAAAAAAAAATTCGTTAATATCAAAAAAAAAATTTCACACGAATTTATTAGTCAGAAACAATAATATCATTGACTAAAAAAATCTCACCAAAAACATTGAAAAAGGCGTAGGACATAGTTCTATAGTCTTGACCCAAACCAAAAAAAAAGAATAAATTATATTTTTTTGGGTTAAAAAAAAATTTGATAAATTCCGATTAAAAAAAAAATCCAAACAAAACAAAAAAGAATAAGAAAAAATTTTGGTTTAAGTTAACCAAAAGAAACAATAATGATAAAAAGAGGGATAAAAAAATTAATAAAAAAAAAGACTAAAAAGGTAGTTTCGGTTTTACGGTAAAAACTGAAAAATAAAAAAAAATTATTATTGGTTCGTGGTATAAACTAAGAGAGCGGAAATAAATGCAATTAATAAGAAAAATTATACATCAGAATAACAGATAAGAAAAAATCAAGTTAAAATTTTAATTAACTGGAAATGGGGACTGGTCTAGCAAAACAAGGGGTTGGGACCAAAAAAATTTTTTTTGAGATTTTATTATAATTGTAATTTTTAGTGAAATTGACATATAATTATCATATAAACTTAAAAATTTTTTTTTGAGACCAAATCCCTTGTTTTGCTAGACCAGTCCCCAAATGTATTAGTTTAAGGGATTGGTCATCATATTATGATACGATAAATACGAAATAGATCGAACGCAAGAATATCACACTTTTCAATGTTACACAATTCGTTATTTATACAGGGTAATCTAAATATGACAAAATTTTTTTAATTAGATAGATTTTTTTAATTAGATAGATAAGATAGATGTAGATCTTTACTCTTTATTTTGTCAAGTGTTAGGCAATTTTTTGGTATTACAGATTACAGTCTACAGATCGAAAATTATGAAAATCATATGATTCATATCTGCCGTATCCGCACAATGCAACACAACTTTTTGTGCCATACTTTCGGGCCGTAATTTTTCAGTTTTGTATTTATTAGCGTAAAATTTTCTATTCGAATTTTTTTTTTAAATTAAAGAATTTTGTCATTTCTAGGCTTAAACCATGAACAATGGAAAATTTAGAAGAGAATCCTAGAAATTGGACCAGTGGAAGCGAAGAAATTGATGATTTTATCCGAGAAATACAATTAAAAAGATTAATAAGGAACCCAAATGTATTTAAATGGGTACCATATAATCAGTTTAGCAACATTAAAAAGATTGGTAATGGTGATTTTGCAGTAGCGACATTGAAGCATAAACAGAACGATGTGACTGTTAATTTAAAATATTTTTATAACTCTCAAAATATCACAACCAATGAATTACGTGACGAGGTATGAATTTTTTATTGTAAATTTAATTTTTCAAATACCTTTTTTTTAATATATTAATTTTTTTTAATTAAATAGATTAGCATTATATTTGACATATATGGAATATCCCAAAATCCCGATACAAAAGATTTTATTTTTGTTCTTCAAGATGAATATTGTGAAGGATGTGGTGAAAAGTACACAGAAATACGGAATAAATGGTGCAATCCATGTCAAATAAAGAATTTAAAAGAAAATTTTAGAAATTGGACTAGTGGAAATGAAAAAATTGACGAATTTATTCAAGAGATGCAGTTAAAAATAAATCGTCCATATGATACAATATTTGAATGGATATCATATGATAAATTTAGTGATATTAAGGAAATAAGGTATACAATATATTCAGCATTATGGAATGATGGAAAATTGAAATATGATTTGAACAAAAAAGAATGGACAAGAGTACAAGTTGAGATTAATTTGAAACTATGTGATTCACAAAATACAATTGATGAATTTCTTAATAAGGTATAAAATTTTCAAATACAATTTAAGTAAATATTATTTAAATATTAATTTTGTCATTAAAATAGGTTGTAGAATATAAAGATGATTATAGAGTTGACATATATGGAATATCTCAAAATCCTGATACAAAGGATTATATTTTTGTTCTTCAAGATGTATATTGTGAAGGATGTGGTGAAAAGTACACAGAAATACGGAATAAATGGTGCAATCCATGTCAAATAAAGAATTTAAAAGAAAATTTTAAAAATTGGACTAGTGGGAATGGAAAAATTGATGAATTTATTCAAGAGATGCAATTAAAAATAAATCGTCCATATGATACAATATTTGAATGGATACCATATGATAAATTTAGTGATATTAAGGAAATAGGCAATACATTATATTCAGCATTATGGAATGATGGCCAATTGAAATATGGTCGGTACAAAAAAGAATGGACAAGAATACAAGTTGAGATTAATTTGAAACTATGTAATTCACAAAGTACAATTGATGAATTTCTTAATAAGGTATAAAAATTTTAAATACAATTTAAGTAATATTTTAAATACTAATTTTGTCATTAAAATAGGTTGTAGAATATAAAAATGATGATAAATTCAAAATATATGGAATATCACAAAATCCTGATACAAAAGATTATGTCTTGGTTTCTCAAGGTGGATATTGTGAAGAATGTGATGAAAAATATACAGAAATACAGAATAAATGGTGTAAGTCATGTCAAATAAAGAATTTAAAAGAAAATTTTAGAAATTGGACTAGTGGGAATGAAAAAATAGATAATTTTATTCAAGAAATGCAATTAAAAATAAATAGTGCATGTGATATTATATTTGAATGGATACCATATGATAAATTTAGTGATATTAAGGGAATAGGCAATACAAAATATTCAGTATGGAATGATGACCAATTGAAATATGATCAGAACAAAAAAGAATGGACAAGAGTGCAAGCTAAAGAGGTTATTTTGAAACTATGTAACTCACATAATACGATTGATGAATTTCTTAATAAGGTAAGAAAGTTTTAAGTATATTTTGAGTAAACATTGTTTAGGTATTAATTTTCTATTAAAACAGGCTAAAGCATATTATAAGATTTCCCAAATATATGGTATATCTCAAGAATCTATTACAAAAGATTATATTATGGTTCTTCAAAAGAAATATTATGAAAGGTATTGTGAAAAGTGTACTGAAAATTACACAAATATTGAGTATAAATGGTGTAAACAATGTCAAATAGATCATTTGAAAAAAATATTTGCATATTGGACAAGTGGAAACAAAAAAATTGATGAATTTATTCAAGAAATGCAATTAAAAATTAATAGCCCAAAAGATATAATATTTGAATGGATACCATATAATCAATTTAATGATATTGAAGAAAAGTGTAAAGCTGTATATTCAGCATCATGGAAAGATGGTCCGTTGGAATATGATTCGAATAATAAAATGTTGGTAAGAGTGCAAGCCAGAGAAGTTACTTTGAAACTATGTAACTCACAAAATATGATTAATGATTTTCTGAATAAGGTATGATTGTACAATTTCTATAAATTAATTTAAATAATATTACCTAATATCATAAATTTTTTAGGTAAAAGTATATGTTAAGATATTTAATGTATATGGAATAACTCAATATCCAGATTCAAAAGATTATGCAATGGTTCTTCATCAAGAAGAATGTGTCAAAAGTTATTGTGAGACATGTATTGAAGAATATACAGACATGAAACATAAATGGTGTAAACCATGCCAAATATATTTTTTGGAAAAAAAATTTACAAATTGGAGTGGAAATGAAAAAATTGATGAGTTTATTCAAGAAATGCAATTAAAAGTTAATAACCCAAATGATATGTTATTTGAATGGATTTCATTTAATCAATTTAAAAATATTAAGAAAATAGGCGAAGGTGGATTTGCTAAAGTATATTCAGCAGAATGGAAAAATGGACCATTGCATTATGATAAAGAATGGAAAAGGGGTTCGTGTAAAAAAGTTGCATTAAAATGTTTAAATAAATCACAAAATAAGACTGAAGAATTTCTAAATGAGGTATGTGATGTATGGAATTTATAAAATTGTAATTAAATATTATACATTCTTTAATATTAACAGGTTTTTTATTTTTAATAGATTAAAGCATATTCAATGAATAAGTATGGTAGTAATATTATCAGAATATATGGAATATCTCAAGACCCAAAAACAAAAAATTACGTAATAGTTCTTCAATATGCAAAAGGTGGAAATTTTAATGGTTGGATAAATAAATGTTATAAAGACTTTGATTGGAATAATAAATTACGAACATTACATAATATTATTTTTGGTCTAAGTGAAATTCATCAAAAACAGATGGTTCATTGTGATTTTCACACGGGAAATATATTATTTGAATATGGATATGTTAATCAATATAATAATACATATATTTCAGATATGGGATTATGTGGAGAAATTGGGAATGTAGACAAATCCAAAATTTATGGAGTTATGTCTTATGTGGCTCCAGAAGTGTTAAGAGGAAAACCTTACACCAAAGCAGCAGATATATATAGCTTTGGTATGATTATGTATTTTGTAGCAACTGGAAGACAACCTTTTTCTGATCGTGCTCATGATAAGTTATTAGCATTAGATATATGTAATGGAATTAGACCTAAATTAAATGAATTAGAAGCACCAAAATGTTATGTTGGATTAATGAAAAGGTGTTGGGATTCGGCTCCAGACAATAGACCAGATGCTATTGAAGTAGTAAATATTATTTATTCGTATTATATTAGTTCAAATGCTGAAATTAGTAAGCAATTTAAAGAAGCAGAAGAATACAGAAAAATAAATATTTCGTCTATTGAAATTAATCAATCAACAACACATCCACAAGCTAGTAATATATCTCGATTATTAAATCCTTTTATGAAAGACCTTCCAAAATGCGATAATGATTCCGAATGTTTAGACTGTTCAATTGCTGATTAAACCGATTACAGCATATATTATGTTATTAGAATAGTATTAAGTTTCAGATTACATTTATTTAAATTTGTTTCACATTATTGCCCCAATTTACAGTCCTTCTTATATTGTTTTATTATTGTTTCGTTGAATAGTACTATAAGTGATGTATAAAATTATAGACTAATGAAATCAAAAAATATTTTTATAGGAAAAGTATAGTTTATAATTTAAATTGTATCTTATTATTTTTAGAGAATATATAACATATATAACATGATTTTGTTCAACACTGATTATAGAATATATGTTCTTTATATTAATAAAAATCAGTCTGTAATTGAGCAATATTCAATTGTTCCTTTCAAAATGTCCTGTTTACGTAATGTAAATCCATTAATATACTATGCGTATGTAAAAATAACAAATCACATTTTCTTTATACAAATGAATGTTAGTTAAAAAGTTGTCAATAAAAAATGCAAGAGATATTGATATTTAATGATATTTTTATGTATATTCAAATAAATATAATAGAATAAAGAAAGAGGTCAAGTTAAGGAAATGACAAAATAAATATTTTAGTAGATTTAACAAAAGATCGGAAGATAAATGTATGCATTTTTATTAAGTGAAGGTGCGAATTGAATTTAATTAACCTTTAAATGTAACACATATCAGTAAATAAGACTGGTCCACCTGAATATTCATACTTAAGCATTATATATATGCTTATACATTTCAAGAACATTTTCTGAATACACATGACCGGTCTGCTTCATTTTTTCAATATCAACCAGCTGAAAATAGAATGATTGTTGATTGGATCGATTGTTAACAGTTTCCTGCTATGTTAAAGTCATTTCAAAGTTTATAAATGGTGTCATTAATCGCTTTATCCATTATAATCTCTTCCAAACAAGTGACAATTGGTAAAAAGTAACAATAATCCTATTGTTTTAATACAATTTATAGTATTATTTTTAATGTAATTTGACCTTAGTTCTTTACCACATTAATTTCATTACATTATAATTTTTGGTAAACTAAATTCAAAGGAAATAACAAAATTCCTATTTTGATTTTTATAATAATATGGATTAGCATGACTTAATGTAACTTTATAACTACTTGTTATTATAGATATATAATGCATGAAATCTTTTAGATCTTTTAACATCATATATATATTTTATTATATCAAAAATACTATACCTATATGAAAAATATTTTTTGTAATAATTTAACATTCTTAAAATAAATAAATTATAGATAGATATTATTTATCTTTACATCTTGATCCATGCCTATCATTTCAAAAATTCATTGTTTCTATTGTTTGGCTACTTATATATTTAAATTAATAAATTCAATTTATGTTTCCTAAGTCCTAACTTTTATTTTAAATTTATTATTAGATGTATTATTTATTTTTAACAACTAGTAGTAAATATTTAATCTTTGTTTCAGCCTTTTTAGGGGTATTGGTATAAATTATTCATTATCAAGTAGTAATGAAAGACTTTCAATATTTTGTTATATTTTTACTATTAAGTATAAAAAGTCAAATGTAAAATCTCACCAGGTATGCAATAACTCTTGAAAATATAATTTTCCATATTTTTAATCAATATCAAGATCCAATAATCCATATTAATTTTTTAAAGCCTGCAAGCCTGCAAGCCTGCATAAATGAGATATTATGCAGAGGTTGAAGTAAAATAGAGATCCATTTTAAATTGGTTATTTTGTTTATCTATCATAAAATGTTAAAATAAAGATAATTTGTTTTACATTTCTGCTGAATCAAAACTTCTGGTTAAAAAATATACAAATTGTTTATAACATCAGGCTTTTTAGGTATTCTCTGTTTATGCTCTACAATTAACACTTTGAAGACAATTTTAATAGCTGTATTGCATCACTGGTTGTAGTTGCATAACTTTTCATTTTCTTAATCTGATCAAACATTATTTATAATTTTTTATTTATAGGAATATAAACTTCCCACAGCTGCCTGGATTTCACACCACTGGAATGTTTCATATTCTCTTATTATGTGATTGTCCAATTTTTGGAAAGTGAAATACATAACCAATATATTATTACTTATAAGAAAACATTTCCATTAATAAATACAAATACATTAAACTAGATAGAAAGACTAGCTTGTACTAAGATTTAAATTACTGTAGACTAAGGGTCACAGCTTATGCTAAGCATCAAATAAGAGTTAATTATTACTGGATTAATAAGTTCTCAACTCAAATGCTAAATAAGAAGTCTAATTGATAGCCATTAATTGTTTCAGGAACTTTATTACCATATCTTTTTTATAATAATTGAATATAAGTTATATTAAGCACTATGTTAAGTACAATATTATATCAGTTAATGCTATTTAATAAAATTGTAATTTATTGACATTTTATATATTTTTTATCAGTTCATATTGCTAAAGTCTTAATTATAAGATCTATACTATAATCAGTCAGTCACAATAATCAAATTAATTATGAGTAAAACTATATATTCAAAGATACACATTTGTGATAATTTATGAATATACTTATTTTTGATTTCAAAGGAGTAGTATACTAAGCTAAACTAATGCAAATGATAAGCTAATTGCAAAGTACAACTTTATAATAAATCAATTAAATAAAAAAAATTCTAGGATCTTACAAATTATTTATATCTCTGTATTTTTTTATCTTTTCAGTTGTTTATAATGCAAATATATTTTATTTAGATAACAATAATTTAAAATTAAAATTCATTATACTGTATATCTGTTCAAGTTAAGTTGTGGAGTTTGTGGTTATCATTATTAGCGAGATTTTCTTGCAAGATATGGCTTGCATTTTCATATCCACTTTTGAGTGATTGCCCTTAGTTTGCAACTCACATTAGGCGCAGATTTGTAAATATACCAAATTGACATGGATGTGTTAATTTAATTGGCATTTTTACTATAAATAACAAATCAAACATGACTAATTATCATATTCTAATAAGTCTGATAAAATATAACTTACAAATAAAAGATCTTATATAATAAATGAAATACCAGCAAAAATCAATTTATAAATAATAAATTTCTTTGTTCAATTCGTAATCATTTCATTAATTTACTATCTAAGAATAATGTATAAATAGAAGTTTTTATTATTGTATTATTCGTTAACATATAACAATATTATTAATAAGTAATTCAGATACTAAGTATCGCTTAGTATAAGGATTTTAAATTTAATTTTAAAATTAATCTCAACTAGTTTGACTATAGAAAGGTTTTAATGTAATAATAATGATTATCAAAAAATTGTATTAAGTTATTAATTTAGCTGCTTTTAAAACTATATCTGATATTACAATTTTAAACTTATTAGCAATTAACTTTTTAATTATTAAGAAATTAATTTTTTTTCATTTGATTTTTGATCTCTGACAGTTATTTTAAAAAAGATAAGTTCACTAATACAGCAAACTTATTTTTATATGAAAAGATAGTATTATTTAATTTAAATTAGACATTAAATTCCTATACAGATTTTTTTTTTCATTAAAATTTTAACAATTTTAAAAACTTTGTTTTTATTGAATTCATATTTTATGATTTAATTCAGAAAAAGCTTTTTTAAATAAAATAAAAATTAATAAAGTTTTTATCAAAGGCTATAATAGATTTATTGATTAACAAGATTGATTAACAATATTAAATTTTTTTTATAAATAACAAAAAACTATTTTTATGGATAAATATATAAAAATAAGCAGAAAAATTAATATATCAATTGATGCTTAAAATTGATTATTGCTATTATGTACAGTCAAACCTTTATATAACGATATATATCAAAGTTATACCGATATTTATAATATATATATATATATATATTGTTCTTCACATATTGGGAAGATAAAATTTATCAGTATATTAAGTTTGTAATAGTTAAATGATTGATCATTTTGTTTTATATCAGTAAAACAATATGTGCAGTCTAACCTCAATATACCGATGATATTCGATATACTGATATACTATTAAAGAGATAGTTTCTGTATGATAGCTACGAACTGACAAGCTCTCTAAAATTTAGATTCTTTTTTTTTTCATATGCCAGTATTTTTTGCTTATTTTAGGATGAGAATTACGCTTAGCAAACATTTTGTTTTACAATTTCGGTGTCTTTTATATCTTATTTTGAAGAAATGGAGGAGAACTCTTTCTGACGATCATTCTGCCCAAATTTTTAGCGGAAGGAAAAATGTCTTTTACGAGTTTTTTTATTAATAAAATCTAAATAAAAAACCTCAAAAATGGAGTCAGCATACAAATTTATAGAATATAGATACAGGTTTCTAAAAGAAACAAAAAATATTTCTAGTGCGAACTCAAGGACCTCAGCAAAAAGTCATGAAAGAGCACCAAGAGACGGGGGTCTCAGCAAAACCGAACAAAACTTCCTGGAGTCAATACGGAATGACGCTGTACGCAGAAAAGAAACTATAAAAGATATTGTTTTAAAGTGTTCAGCAGCGTCTTTCGACGTCTATATAGACGAAATAAAAAGACTCTCATGGGAAAATTCAAAACTGCACAAAGAACTGCGGAGGAAAGACCACGTGATGGACAGAAAAGTCAATGAGGAGAAACAACAAGCACGAATAATATCGCAGAAAAATGAGCAAATAAGGAAAATTTCGCAAGAAGTAGAAAAAACGAGATCAGAACTAAAAAAGGTTAAAACTGGCGTCAACAAAGAAACCGATCAGCTGAAGAAATCAAAAAAAGGCAGATCGGCATCAAATAAGAGAAAACGGGAAAAAATTTTAGAGATACCAGTTTTACCCGAAAATACCAGTAATGATCAGCAGGGCAAGGAAGCACGTGACATATTTTTCTACGATATACCAAAATATTGGAGCGAGGATGACGTAAGAACAAATCTGATGAAGATAGGTACGGTGTATAGATTGCAAATTCGAGGACAATATAAATACAAAACCGTTAAGGCCAAAATCGCTTTGAACGCAAATTTCGAAAAAACGTTCTTGGATGGACACTTCAGTATTTGTATTAGCAAAAACTTTATCAGATGGTACGACGTGAAACTAGGTTTAAAAGGACGACAAGAGCGGGACCAATGGCAAACTGTGAGAGACCTAACTAACGAGGAAATGGAATCCATAAAGAAAAGAAACACATACGACTTCACGAAAAAACTGCAACAAAATTCCAAGACGGCGTTCATTAAAATTATCAAAATCACAAAAAATTGGAAAGTGATTGGATATTTTAAGAACCTCAAAGAAATGGAAGAAGCAGTGGAGGATTCATGCACACAAGGAGATATCAATAGAGTTTGGCTCGTCAGAAACAAGAAGACGATTTACAAAGATGGTGATGATAAGATAAGGACGAAGAAACTGCACGAAAAGATAAATCAGGAAAAGGCGAAATCACCCGAACGGCTGGCCAGTGAATCGAGGACTCCTATCACACCACCAGGGAGAATTTACAGAGAATTAGGAAACTTCGCTTCACGACAAGAAAGCTTACTACATCCATCAAAAGCGGAACAGTATTCAAGGATAAGTAAGACGCCAGACGAAAATGAAGTTGTTGAGATGATCAAAAATTGGAGAGTAGGAGAGAATACTCATGACCATAACGACACTTCAGAAAACAAGGGGAAACAAGTACTGAAGAAAGATAACGTAGCGCCAGAAGAAGTGGTTGAAATCATAAAAGATTACAGAACGAACAAAATTAAATATGTTCAGTATCAAGAATCAACCACTGACAGGGAGGAGCACCTGATGAAGAAACTGGATGAAGTGAAAGAAATCTTCAATCAAACATCTAACAAAATGGAATGGGAAAAAATTAACTCCGCAACATTTTCCGTATTTGGTGAGCAAATGGGGTTAACCGAATGGGCGGAAATAAAGAAGATGGCGTTGGAACCAAATAATTTTTTCCGACTAGGACATCAAATTATAAGTTTAGCGGAAAGATCAAAAATATTCCAAGAATATACTACCCTAAATGATAATTTTAAACAAAGATTGGAGAACGAAAATCGACATCAAGACGAAAAGAAGACTGGAGAAAAAAGACCAATGTTAGAATCTCCGAAGAAAGAAGAGGAACCTTCGGATTCCGATTATGCAGAGTTTGATGAAGAGAACAGTATTCCCGAGGAGTGCTGGACAACAAATTATCAAACCGTGCACCTACAAGAAATCCAATTGATGATGTTCGATGAAGTAAAAGAAGAAGAAACAACAGAAGCTACGGCATCACCATCAAGTACGAAGAGTGGAAAGGACAAGAAGAAGAAGAAGAACAACAACAAGAAGTGAAGAGAGAAAGAAGAGTCTAACAAGGAGAAATGAATTATATTTTTAATCGAAGTCACATGACATGATTCACGTAAAAAAGATTCTGATAACAAAATTAATAACAAAAATGTATTTCATTTCGAATTGTTTCATTTAGATTAGAATACTAACTTTTATTTTTTTGTAGGTATAAGGGGGATTTGGTGAAATAAATAGTTTGGGAGTGGGACCGTTGGGACTCATCTTTTTGAAGCTGCACAAGGCAGTCCTGGACGTTATTACACATTTTTCTTTTAATCCTACACTTTAAAATTTAGAATTCAAATAGTTAGGTTTCACAAATTAAATAGTCTGTTAGTTTTATATTTTTATTTTTATCAGGTATTGTATTTATTTTATCAATTTTCTGTAATGTATTTTAGTAGTATAGTTAGATAGATATACTCTGTTATAGGGTTAACATGGTGTATAAACATGTTGGCTCTACGTATCTTGTAATTTAGGGTGTCTTTAGACACTAGACCTTAATAAAGATGCATTACAGTTTTAAAAAAAAAAAAAAAAATATCTTATTTTGAACATATGTTAACTTTAAAAAGTAATTATATTCATCCTACGTATGACCATTCTTCACCTTTAAAGTTATATATATTAAATATCTCATAGAATATTTGAAAAATTGACTAAAGCGATTTTTTTTTTATGTTATGTTAATCCATCTTTGTATTCATTTATGCATTATTCTATACTAAAAAAAATGAGTTTTTTTTATTATTAAATTTAAAAACCTTATACAGTATTACCGTTAACTTTAAAATAAAATATTTGCTATGTAATGTTGATTATACAATATACACTTTGTGCAAATCACATTTGAATGTCCAATAAAAAAAATAATTTATCTTAATAAAAAAACCTATATAAATTAAATTAATCAAAATATTCATAAATTATCTGGATTAAATTTAAATATAAATTAGGTACAAAATAGATATTACCACCCTTATTTCATTCATTTAATATCACATTACGTATATACTCATAAGAATTTGCCTATTCTCAGACGTAAATTTAATTGTGAAAGTTTTTTTTTCTTGATTTGATAATTCTTATCAAATAAAAAGCATTTTTATTTTTTATGAAATATCGTATCACTTTTTCTAAATTTTGGATGCCTAAAGAAATTTGATTTCAGACGGAGTAAAGATGATCTTACGAACTACATATAATAAACTTACGCTGAACTTATGCAGACTTGTAAAATATTTGATAAAAATAGAATCTCATTTGAAATGATCAAATTTAGTTGTGTCACGTGCCATAAAAATTTTGTTAACGTCATGGTCGTCATGTCACGATTGTCACGTTAAAAACAAAATTATTTATTGATTTTAGCGCAGTCAAATGTAGGACAGGGCGTCTTCTTACTAAAATTATTTTTTTTGCTGCATGAGTATTGATTTACAAGTTACACAAAATTTGTCATAACGCAGATTTCTACAAAATTATTTTTCTTTCTTCTTTTTCTCAAATTTTTTCAATATATAAATTAACTCCCACGTTAAAAAATTTACTACCGTAGTAATAACAATTTTGTACAAAAAATAATGTCTAATAACGTTACTGATAATACAAATGAGTGGATTAATTGGATTGAAGAATCTATTGCGAAAGAACGAATTAAATATTATGACTATAATCATTTTAATAATATCCAAGAAATCGGGTTTGGAAGTTTTGGAAAAGTCTATCGTGCAAATTGGAAAAGTTCTCATAGTTATTTAGCATTGAAATCTTTTTTTAATTTCAATGTTATGTCTAAAGAAATTGTTAACGAAGTAACTATTATATACCATTGTCTTGATACAGTATATTAACGTAAATTATGTCCCTAATCTATTATGATTTTTATTTTGTTAGCTTAAACTTCAGCGTGAAATTGATTTTAATGAAAATATAATTCGCTTTTATGGCATTGCAATAGGTATTATAAATATTTCAGACATTATTTTACTGATAAATGAAAAATCTAAACAATTTTTTTTTTCAAAAGAAAATCAAAGCAACGATTCAAAAAAATATTTTTTAGTGATGGAATATGCTAATAATGGTACCCTTCGAAGCTATTTTAATAGATGCTTTAAAAACCTTACTTGGAATGACAAATTAAATCTAGCATTTTTCAGTTAGCTAGTGCTATATCATTCTTGCACGATGAAGGGATTGTACATCGTGATTTGGTAGGTTATTTACTTTTTAACATTTATTAAATTATAGAGTTTGTAAAATTATGTACCTAATATTATTATCATTTTAATTAATAATAGCACTCCAACAACGTATTAGTTCATAAGGATACCGTTAAATTGGCTGATTTTGGATTATCAAAAAGGATTGATGAATCATCTAATATTCAATCCAAATTATTTGGAATGGTTACTTATATTGATCCACAAATATTTAATAGAAAAAGAGATAGCAATAATCAAATACAATTATATTCATTAAATAAAAAGAGTGATGTTTACAGTATTGGCGTACTCTTATGGGAAATATCTAGCGGGCGCCCACCTTTTTGTAATGAACCATATGATGCTGGTTTGGCTGTGGAAATATTACATGGTCTTAGAGAGAAACCCATCCCCAATACACCTGAAGATTATATAAAAATATATACTGGTAAATAAAAATAAATTTTAATCATGTTCATAATAATTATATTTATTAATTACAAGTTTATTTTATATTTAGATTGTTGGAATAATGAACCAAACAATCGTCCAACTATCAACCAAGTTATTGGAAAATTAAATGCAATTATTTTAAAAGAAAATATCCAGTTATCAAGTGAACAGCAGAATATTGTTGAAACTCCTAGAAATATTAATAATAATTCATTGCATGAAGAAATGTCCCAACTCATTCAAAATTTCAATAATATGAATACAGAAGAAATGGATACTTCAATATCAGAGAATAATTTTGACAATATGATTAATGAAATAATTTTCCTCCTTGAAAATAATATAGAGGTAGAAATGAGAAAAGATGAAATTGTTAATTACCTTAATAATCATAATATAACTTCAAAAGAAATTTATAATTGGTTATTGAATAATCAGAATAATTTAAATTCTGTTCTTTTACTTGGAGTATTTAATCATTTTGGATTTGAAATTATTGTTTATTAACAAAAAGCATTTGAATTATATCAAAATGCAGCAAATTCAGATAATGTTCTTGGAATAATTAGTTTAGGATATTGTTACGAAAAAGGAATTGGTACTAATATTAATAAACAAAAAGCATTTGAACTATATCAAAAGGCAGCAAATTTAGGAAATGCACGTGGAATATATAATCTGGGATATTGTTATCAAGATGGAACTGGTACTAGTATTGACAATCAAAAGGCATTTGAATTATATCAAAAAGCAGCAAATTTAGGAAATACACTTGGAATGAGTATTCTAGGATATTGTTACGAAAAAGGAATTGGTACTAATGTTGATAAACAAAAGGCATTTGAATTATATCAAAAGGCTGCAAATTTAGGAAGTACATATGGAATATTTAGTCTAGGATATTGTTATCAAGAAGGAATTGGGACCAGTATTGATGAACAGAAGGCATTTGAATTATTTCAAAAGGTAGTTAATTTAGGAAATGCACGTGGAATGAATTATCTAGGATATTGTTATGAAATTGGTATTTGGACCAGTATTGATAAACAAAAGGCATTTGAATTATATCAAAAGGCTGCAAATTTAGGACATCATAAAGCTCAATATAATCTTGCTATTATGTATAAAAATGGAGATGGAGTTAAAAAGGACATAAATCAAGCAATTCATTGGTATACAAAATCTGCTGAACAAGGATTTCAACCAGCTCAAAATCAATTAAATAAATTAATAAATTAAAAGGATATATTGTAATTAAAATTTTCATTATGTATTCCATATTTTTTCCTATAAATATAGCATATTATTTAATTGATTTATAGCCCATCAAATCATGATAAGTATCTATTTCATTGAAGCAATAATTGGAACTAAATATTCATTTAAAATTTTTAGTAAAATTTTATTTGGTGATATTACGTCAAATAAAATGTAATAAATAAGTTTTAAAATAATTAGCATTCTAATTTTATTTCACTTTATATATTATTACAAATTCCAATAAAAAATATTAATTATAATTTTCTTATTGTAATATTGTCGAGTATTAAAAATAATTCAAAAAAAAAGGAATAAAGTTTGCGTAAATAATACCTAAAGAAATGAAATACATACCTATGAAATAAACCTTTTGATAATAGCGAAGAAAAATTTAGAATGTTAATGAATTTATTATTAAAGTATATTTCAAATTTTTCTTGTCAATATTTGGTAGTTAAGTGTTCAAGATATGGTGAGGCCTTACCAATTTGAAAGTATACTTAACATTATGTTGTAAAGAAAATTTAGGGGGGTGAACGAATACTAATCTACAGTAAAAATTGAATATTTATATAAAAATTTCAGAAAAGAGCGTAATAAAAAATGTAAAAATTGTTTGCATGTGATTACAGTTGATTATTTATTTCATTATTTCACGGTTTTAGATAAACGAACTTTTAAATTGTGAGGCGTAATATAGAATAAATTATTTCATTCTTCAAAATTAAATTAGTAATACAATTTTGCCTCTTAAATTTTATTTGTCAATATGAGTATAGTTAAATACCTTATATTTAAAATCTTATTTATTAATATTATATTTATTTTCATCAAAAAACAAAGATACGAATGTTTAAATATGTTAGTTATTAGGCTATCCACAATTACAAGATATTGGCCAAGATTAAAGATGATTTGCTCATTCACGGCCAGGATTTCAAAGCCACGTGAATATCATTAATACCCATTAACCGTTAAATTGTCAAACATAGGTTATATAAGATAAACAAAATAAAATTAGTTACTGTAATAATAAAAACTAGGGATTTACTTAGATTTTTTGACCTCTATTGAAATCATGGGAAGTTCGGTTAAAACAACTACCGAAGAAATTATTTGGATAAACATTTTACCGATAATTCACGCACGTGACCTAAGATTCTACGATTTTCCAGCGTATTGGAAAGATGGAGATTTATGAAGCGATGAAACAAGTAGGTTATGTAGAACTTAGCAGTCAAAACGCAACTATAAATATAAAACTGTCCAGACCAAAATATAATGGTGGATCTAATATGATAATAACGAAAGATGGACGGTTACATTTCTTAGGAATGTTTGACGCAAAGTTTTCTTTGAGCGATATTAAGAAAAGATATTTTGGCATGCGGTCAAAAGCTAAACAATCAAGAAAACGAAATGAAAGACTACACGATTATTAAGGACGATTATTAAGGAACACATAAGAGAATATGGCGACCATTTTGCTAAAATCATTAAAATTAGCAAAGTGAAATATATTATAATGTATTTTAATAACGAACAAGATCTACTATTTAAGGCCGCATATGATTCTGAAGATTTGGGTAAAGGTCTACAGATTAAAGCACAAGATGAAATCATAGGAAAAGACGGAAGTTTCAATAAGCCGGGGTATCGAATGACGTCTAACATTATCGCACATCCTCCTTCAGAGGATGAACAATTTGAAGATGCTGTAATGAGTCCTACAGTATCGACGGTGTCTAATAACGAAGTGGTCGAAAAATTTAGTCAATTAAATTCTGACTTTAGTAATAGAATTAACGAGATTAAAGTAAATACAATTAAAGGTAAAGAGAAAGAAAAGGTTGTGGAATCAGAAATCAAAAATTGAACGAAAACAAAAACGTGTAGTGACAGTTCAGGGAAGCTAAGACGACTCTGTTAGCGAACAGAATAAACATTCAATAGAGTAAACAAATTTGAAAGTAAGGTCGGGTTTTTTTCTCGTTGGAAAAGGTTTGCAGATTAACTAGGCAAGTGAAGAATTTTTGGCTGGTATTTGAAAACGTTTCCGCACAATGGAATCTAATTAAATCTAATTAGACTTTATTATTCAATGTATTACTTTTTTATTTTACAATTTTTAATTTTTAACGAGATTTCAATGTATTTTAGTTGTGTGGTCCTAACAGAAATAGTTAAAAAAAATTAAAAAACAGATGAAAATATTAGAAAATAATAAAAAAAAATCTTATAAAATTTTTTAGTGACCAGACGAACAATAATTTAGATTTATACAATTAGAGTTAAAAATTTTATTTAGTTATAGTTTTTTTTTATCATTACCTCTATGTATTTTATACAATTATGTAACCATTGTGATTCAAATAATTAAATAAAATGCGTTAGTAATTTTTTTTTTTTTTAAAAAAAAAAAAGAAATAAAACAATGAAAACAATGGAAGTTTTAATTAATTATGTTCGTAAATATGAAAACTTATTATAATTCCTTGCTTTTTCTATTTGAACTTTAGAAATCGGTAATTTTTTATTTATTGATTAAAAATGCAAAATCACTAAAATCGCTAACAAAATTCATAGTGTATAGTGCAAATATTTTAACAGCTATTATCTACTCTTTTAATACGACTAATTGCATTATTTTAATGACAATGTTAATCTTTAGAAATTCCAATATTTTCTTATTTAAAAATTAAAAGTTAATTCTTATCAATATTCAAAATTTTAAAATATGTGCAAGATAAATACATATAATTTTTAAAACTCGAAAGGTTTTGTATTCAATAAGAAGTCTTCGCTTAATATTTAGGTTTTATAATTTTTTAACAGCTGCTTACCGAGAATTTCAATAAAATTAGTCTCGCCTTGTCACATTATTGCCTTATAAGTAATCGTAATTAAAGGCGCAATTTTAAGTATATAGTAATGCCATATTCCGTCACAAATTATATGTCAAATAGATTAAACATACATATTAATATTTCTTTTCTGAATTTCTGAATATACAGTATTTAATATTTATTAATGTTAACTGAGATTTTGTTTATACATTCAGAAGAAGTTATAGAAAAATGAAATTATGCTTGAACTACTAGGTATGAGATTGAAGACTTTTTCCAACGTTTCCTTTTGAATATAGTCCTTAGAGTATTAATGAATATTAAACAGAAGGTTATGGATTGCGAGTAAGTTGAATACGATAATTTGATTATTTTATATAATTTACTTTCATCAATGATAATTTTAACTGCATAAAGAATGCCAATATAGGTGTTATATTTGGAAATTCTCCTCCAGTCTTTTATTTACAACTTAAAAGGTTTGTTTTATGATATACATAGAGATGCATTGGTTAAGGTAACACATTCAAAATTATATATTTGTTGTCAAAAGTTTCCCCTTTTTCTTACAATTCAAATTTTTTTTTTTTTTACAGATTATTCGCTAATAGTGGTGAAGCACATGAAGGTCATTACTTTGTTTCAATAAACCTTGAAAAGGATAGAAAATGGGTTATATCACTCAAATTATTACTTTCTTTTTATAAATAAAAATAAGTAAAAAATTTTAAAAATTATAAAATAAGTTTAAATTTGATAATAATCATCAATCATGTAACACCTGTTACAAATAATGAAGTACTTGAGAATAATTATGGTGGCAAAGTTCCAAATGTCAAACAATTAATACGGTTAAAATCAAAGTATCGTGCTAATACTTATATGTTAGTATACAATATTGGGCCATGATCATCTTTAAACCAATTAAATTTTTAAAAGAGGAAATAACTTTAGAAAAACAAAAGAAAAAAGAAATGGAAGAAAGATATCTTTACCTTACTGTTAAAGTATCTTTTTAAAAAGAAGAAAAGAAGAAGCTTTTCTTATTATTAATTTGAATTTATATTATATATAGATTGTGACCGCCGAAATATTCAAACATCATCAAGGATTTGATCTCGCCAATTTTGACGATCGTCACATGCATATAAAATTCTAAAGAGGGAAACTTAAAGGCTCTTTAGAAAAAATATTTCTCGAATTTTCAATGTTCCTTCTGAACAAGTACAATTCTGGGTCATAGTGAATCGTTATAATAAAACTGTTCGGATCCATTCTCCAATACCAGGATCTTATTTTAATACCAGTAAATAATAATTCTAATACAATCTTCATTATAATATAAACTTTAATTTTATTGCAATAAATATATTCGTAAAAAGATGACTTCTTGTCAAAATGAAATGAAGCTGTATATGGAGATAGCAGAAAAACCAATCAATGGCAAGTCGTGGTGTGCATTTATTATGTCGCTTATAATTATTATATACTGTATTACCTTTCGGATTTTCTACTTTTAAATTCAAAACTTATATTACAAATTATTTCTGTATACATGGTTTCCAGAGAGACATTATCATGTGATGGTGTTCCTCAAGTATTTTGATCCTGATAAACAAGCTTTTGAGTAAAATAATTTTATGTTCATAATTTAAATGCAAAATTTAAAGTAAAATAAATATATATATACACATAGTAACATATTTAATAATATAGATGTCTAGGCTATTTATATATGAAAAGTATAGTGAAGTGGACGGCTATGCTCGCGTTTTATGTGAGAAAAAGGAATTTTCATCTGACACTCCTTTGAATATATATAAAGTTCATTTAAATATTATACTAGATCCAAATATTTTGTGTGTACAATTTATATATTTTTTTCAATATATTATATTATTTTAATTGTAGGAAATTAAACCGAATAAGTTAGAAAAAAATGCATCTTTAATCCACCTTTAAACAATCGGAAATACAATATGGTGATATAATTTGTTTCCAAAAGGTTTTAACAGAAAAGGAGTGTACATTAACACCATATACTGTTTTTACACTTTTTTTTATTATATTATGTTACTAAATCATTTTTACAAATATTTAGAGTCCAAGAATATATTATCTGGCCGTTGTTATGATACTCCTCATTTTATGAATTGTTGACTTTACGTGTTGTTGTTATTTTTAAGCCAAAATTGAAATATCACAGACCAGAACCTGGATTTGATTTAGTTTTAGGTAAAAAGTGGACTTACGAACAGGTTAGTAGAATATTCCATTATACATTCCCGAATTCCTGATACAATTTATGATATTCAATTTTTTCATATTTTATATATTCATTAATATAGGTTGCAGGAGCAGTCGCTACCCGTTTGAACGACCCTCTCAAATTGCGGTTTACTATAGAACATTTGGCATCTGGTACACCAAAGAATGTCATTAAACGAACCATCAATCAGACCCTTTCAGAGATGATTAGTATTGCATATGGGACGCCAATAGTTTATGTTTTATTCTATGAGATGCTGGAAACAAGTATTGTACTAGAAGCAAAAAAGTTCTTTAAAGTTTACTGGCTTGCAAATACAGTTAAGAAAAGGGTAAATTGTATCTGGACTTATTTACCGTCTATTATGTGATTTTGATATTATATCAGGATTCTTATTATTTTAATTTACACAAAATATTTTAGAAAATTATTGATATTCGTCTTCAAAAGAATACGATTATTAGTAAACACATAGAAGAAATTTCAAATAAGGTGACATTATCATCACCAAATTCCAGAATCATGTTATTTGAAGTTTATCACAACAAAATCCAAAAGGAATATACAGAAAGTGAACCAATAATGATGATACTAAAAATACGCGAAATTATATGCAGAGGTTGAATATTTATAATATGAATTGAATAAATGTTTTTTGTTAAGTTATTTTATTAATATCGATATGCAAATATATTTATTAATTGTAGGAAATAACCTCTTGATGAAATTGTTGCCAATGAATATGATCGAATTTTCCAAGTAATTTATTTCACAAAAGATCTATTACGAATACATGGAATTCCGTTCAAATTTGTTATTAGAAATGTAATTTGTTTATAATAATTAGCTTTTAATTAAACAATTTAATTTTTAAGAATTCTAAACGTTTCAGTAATTTCATATTTCTTTAACTAGAAATTAGCTAATTCTAAGATACGTCTTTAATATCGTCTTGGTATGAATGAAAATGATTTTCGAAAATAAAAATTGCAATTATATATACAAACTCATATTTAAAACTAGAAGATGACAGTAAGTTAATAATAAAGTTTCAAATCAATCATTATAACATTAATTTTATTTTTAAATTTATTAAGTTATAATTTTGTCAAAAGTGAAATTATCAAACAAAAATTATTTTGGTCCTGATCATTTAGTTAAAACTGACGTGTAAAGACGGGTTTACCACGAAATCCCGACAAGCACAATCCCGATATAATAAAATCCCGAGGCACATATTCCCGACTAAGACAATATACTGAACGATCAAAATCCCGAAAGTATCATATCCCGAATGGTCTAAAATCCAGTATTTAAATTTCCTGAAAGTTCAAGTTACTGATGAGTCAAAATCCCGACACAATATTATATTTTAAGTATCTGTTTGATTTTTGTTTACTAGGAAGATCATTTCCTACTGATTATATAATTTGCGGCAATTAATACAATCATACATATGCACTTTGATTTCAAATTTAAATTAATAAATTTAATGAATGAAATTCATAAAAATTGCAATTTTGATTTATAACTTACATGTTACAGTATATTTATTTGCATAAGCTAATCTAGCATAAATTAATCTAGCAATACAGACTATTACTACTCATATTACATATAACTACGTAAAATTCCATTCACTAATATAAATTCTAAAATAATTTATCTTAAAATTAAAAAGAAAGATTGTGGGCAATACCACGAAGAAATTCCATAAGTGAACGGTTACTTCGCTCATTAATAATTGACATAATCCTATTTTCTCTTTCAATCCAAACTTTTTTCTGCTTCTTTCTTTGTTCTCCACGTATAATACATTCAATTTGAAGCTCAACCTGCTGCTGTTCTCTTTGAATCTCATTAATAATAGTGAAAAGTCCTACATGGGATTCACCAACCAGAACTTCCCATCTACGATGCCAAGCCTCAACTACATTTTGGGTTCTTGGAATCCCCAATTGGATAGAGTCATATACCGACCACAATTGTGGTGGAAAAGGAAGTGCAGAACGAACCACATGGCCATTTCGCATTTCTCGGCGAATTCTCTCAAGAACATAATTGTCTTCAAACCATTGCACCAAATCATTGGCCTCTTGAGGCATTTGTGGTTTTAAAATATTAAAAGCTGCGGGTATTTCTTGAGAGGGTAAAAAGGCTATAGCAAATAAATGTCGTACCATAATGCTAAAATGCTCATCATTTCCATATTGAATCGCTAATCCACATCTTTGTATTTGCCGCCACCCATTTTGACAAAGATGAAAAAAACATCCTTTATTATTGGTATCAGGAAATTTACTACGTGATACATTAATTGCTGCCAACTCAAAATCAGTAATGATACTTTGTGGCTTTAATTCAATATCATTATCTTCGGCAAACTCAATTAAATTTTCAAATAACCACCTGTATAGCACCTCAGATTTACGAGTCATAAGTGCATACACCAGTGGAAGAATCCTAGAATTGTCTTCAGCACTAACAGGTGCGTGTATTGTGTACATTTGATGGAATATGGTAGGAACAGTCTTAAATGTTCCGTTCATAATCCAAAATAATGCATTAGCTAAGTGCTGGATATTTTCTCTTGTAGTAAATAGAAGGATTCGTTCTTGACCAACCATATAATCTTTAACTAGGAAAATATTTCCATGCAATGTATGACAAAGTGATTCTGGTATGTTTATTTCAGTAATATTTTGTGGCTGAGGTGGCATTTCTGATTTTCTAACACGGCTAATTGTTCTACGAAGAGCATTAGGTGATGGGATGTAAGGATGAATTTCTTCTGGAATACTAATAATATTATCTTGAATTATTTTTGCGGGTTTATCTCTTGTTTCAGAAGCTTGACGCTTGATCTGAGCAGTAAGTTTTGCGACTCCAGCATCACTTGCTTGAGGTGCGTGATTATGATCAGTACAACTTCGAAGATAATGCAAGTTATTACATAAGGTTGTTACAGCACGGCCTTTACACCCTTCTGATTTTCTTTTTGCACAACACCAGTAAAATATTGTCTCACGGTTCCGTTCCTTTACCATCAAATAACCTCGAACATTGATTTTATTATTTCCCTTATTTGAAGGTACAATATCACAAACCTCATCCATTATTACAAGAAGTTATATGGTTAAATTATAATGAAGAAAATTAAGGTTTATGAAAAGTGTTTTACAATGAGGAAAGTTTTTGTCTAAAACAAAGGAGACTTTATGATCAGGATTAAAAGTTAATTCTGATCAGATTAATAGTGAGATCACGCAGTAGTAATTGACATAATAACTCCTTGCAATTGTGCAATCACTACGATATTATTACATAAATGGTTACATGAAAAAATTTTTTTTTCTTAAGGAGTTATTATTGTGTCGGGATTTTGACTCATCAGTAACTTGAACTTTCGGGAATTTTGAATTCCAGATTTTGGACTATTCGGGATATAATACTTTCAGTATTTTAATCATTCAGGATATTATCTTAGTCGGGAATAGGAGTGTCAAGATTTTATTACATCGGGATTATGGTTGTCGGGATTTCAGGAGGATCCCGTAAAGACTATTTCAATTAGAGGCTAAAATATTTTTGCAATTATTAGAATTATATCTGATATTTACTCTATTACCATAAACTTGACACGTTGCAGTATAGTAATATTATTCAAATGACTAGAAATGTCGTTTATTATTAGCAAGGAACTCCGTCCCATGTAACCGGTTCTTCAGACTTAAGTCATGTGTTTTCAGGTCAAGTAACATACATGTTTAATATGTTCGTCAAAAGAAAAATCAGTAATAATTGTGATATTTTAATAGAAGCTAGCCGATAAATAATATGTTTTATGTAATAATTAAAAATATGTAAATGTTGTAATTTTTTTAATTGATATAAATTTTAATTGTTCTATTGTTAATTATTTATTACATCGAAGATTCTATTGCTAAAAGCACATGCTATTAGTACATGTTATATATCAATGTTCTACTATCTACTTTAGATTATTTTAAAGTCCACAATAAAATTATAAAAGAAAAGGACGTTAATAGTGTTTCTAATCAAAATAAAAAACATGTGAAAAAGAATTTCTACTTACGATTTCAAAGTTTAAGATGAAAATTACATCCAAGAGTCCATTCATTCTTGAATAAAGGAAAGAAGTTAAATTCAAAAGTTTATCCTAAAAAAATGGTAGAAAAGAACATAAGTAGTGTTTCTAGATAAAAAAAACCAAATCCCTTCCTACATATCCATAATAAAGAAGTAAACCAATGCCCTAAAAAATGAAGAAGCAAATGTTTTAAAAGGTTAATTGTGAAATCCCAACTCCTACATCAACATACCTTAAAGAACCGGTTCTGAAAAATCATTTTTAAAAAAATAACAAAATTCTGTAATATCTTCGAAACTTACCATTCAAGCAAATCTGAAGCCAAGTCCTACAAAAACGAAGAATGAAAAAAGTTCATAAAAAATATTTCTTTTAAGTTTTCAAAAATTGTTTGAAAATTACTAGGATTCTAATTACAAAATTTGAGTCAGAATCCTACAAAAAAAAATAATAAATAAATAAATAAAAAATCAATAAAAAAATATTTTTTTTAAGGTATTCGAAAGTGAAAACTTACAATTTTAATTCCAAAATTGTCTTTTACGTACATGAGGATCACACAAACTGAATCCACTTTTTTCACATCAATGTGAAAAGAATTCACATGATTAATCCTTGCTCTTTCATATTCTATATTAAATCAGATCTTCAAGAAATAGGACCCCTCGGTATAAGATATTTGATACCCGTAGTTGACATTTAAATGTTTGCAAACCTCTCAGGTTTCAAGATAAAACGTAACCATCATTTCCAACATTCTGAATCTAGAACCTATAAAAAAACAAGAAAAATATTAGCAAATGTTTCTAATTAAACGAAATAAAAAAAAAAGTTGTAGTTCTTTTGCTGAACTTACTAATCTTCTAGTAAACTGTGCCCAAAATCCGCAAAAAAAATAAAAATAAGATATTTCTAAATAAAAAAAATTAAATAAAAAAATTAAAGTTTCACAACTTTTAGTTGCAAAACTTAATAAAAAAAAAAATCATAAACAAATAATTTTCGCAAGCTTCAAAATTTGGAGTTAAAAACATCAAATAAAACTGGAGCCAGTAAATAATGTTTTATTTTTTTCAAAAAAAAAACCTATAAAAATTATAGATTAAAATTTAAAATTGGACTAGATCGAGTTATTCAGATCTGAATGATTAATGGATAACACTCATAACAGTTAATTTATAGTTAATAATAAAAGTTAAATATAGCGGATGGATGGATTTAATAGAATATAATATGAATTATCAAAAAGTAATGTAATAAGAAACAGTTTGTAGGATACTAAATGAGGCTTTCTAAAAATTTAGAATTTTTTTTTTTAATACGTAGTACTTAGTAAGCGTTTTGTTTTACAATTTTAATATCTTTTATATCCTATTTTGAACATATGTTTAACTTTTAAAAAGAAAGTATAATTCACTCTACATATGCATATGACGTTATTAATATTAACATTTGCATTACTTGAATATGACATATCTGAATAAAAATACTAGGATGATATATAACATCTATTTTTGTGCCTATTTTATATTTCTTATACACAAAGTGCATAATTAACATTAGTTGAAATTATATTTATAAGAATCTGCCTATTCTCGGATGTAAATTAAATTGTAATGGTTTTTTTTTAATTGATAATGCTCATTATATAAAGAGGAATTATTTTTATTTTATTTTATTTTTTTTTTGATTTTATCGCATAAGTTCAATGTACACTACCTACTCAAAAGTTTAGGACCACCCTATATTTTGCAATTTTATAATAATTAAATGCATTTATTCAACTTAAAATGTTTCAATTAAAATTTAATAGTAATATTTAACATTAAATGTACATTTTTTTATATTTTTTTATATTATTAATATAAATATAAATTTGAGTAAATTACCAGTCTACTTTCATAATTAACAATTAATAAAAATTTGACTGTAAATAAGATTGGTAAGAAAAATAATTTTAATAAAACTACACCAGATTCAATTTCTCCTAGTTAAGAGGATCAAAATAAGCTAAAGTTTATTGAAATCGATGCAGTAGATAAGGAGAAATTGATTGCTAAATATTGACATTTTAGGATATTTTACATATATAAAATGATCTACATTTAATTTTTATATATAAATGATTAGTCATAAACAGTCAATTTCTCCTTATCTACTGCACCGATTTCAACAAACTTTAGCTTATTTTGATCCTCTTAACTAGGAGAAATTGAATCTAGTGTAGTTTTATTAAAATTATTCTTTTTAACAATCTTATTTACAGTTAAATTTTTATTAATTGTTAATTATAAAAGTAGACTGGTAATTTACTTAAATTTATATTTATATTAATAATATAAAAAAATATAAAAAAATATACATTTAATGATAAATATTACTATTAAATTTTAATTAAAACATTTTAAGTTGAATAAATGCATTTAATTATTATAAAATTGCAAAATATAGGGTGGTCCTAAACTTTTGAGTAGGTAGTGTAGTTTATTACGTGTAGATCGTAAGATCGTATTACTCTGAAACCAATTTCTTTAAACATCCAAAATTTTAAAAAAGTGATGCAGACTTGTATAAAAATAGAATCTCACTTGAAATGATAAAATTTACTAGTTGTGTCACGTGCCCTAAAATTTTGTTAACGTCAGAGTCGTCAGACGTCATGTCACGATTGTCACGTTATTGATTTTAGCGAAGTCAAATGTAGGACAGAGCGCCTTCTCACTAAAATTATTTTTTTTGCTGCATGAGCGTGATCACAAATTTTTGTATCTTATTTCGTAACACCAAACTTCTATAAATAGTGCAAAATTCTTTTTTTTTTCTTTCTTAAATTTTTTCAATATATAAATTAACTCTCCCGTTAAAAAACTTACTACCGCAGCAATAACAATTCTGTATTTAAAATAATGTCTAATAACGCTACTGATAATTCAAATGAGTGGATTAATTGGATTGAAGATTCTATTGCGAAAGAACGAATTAAATATTATGACTATAATCATTTTAATAATATACAAGAAATCGGGTTTGGAAATTTTGGAAAAGTTTATCGAACAAATTGGAAAAGTTATCATGGTCATTTAGCATTGAAATCTTTTTTTAATTTCAATGACATGGCCAAAGAAATTGTTAATGAAGTAATAATTATATATATTGTCTTACTTTATAATAAACTATTATTCTTGATTTATTAATTCTATATTTGTTTAGCTTAAACTTCAGCATGAAATTGATTTTCATGAAAATATAATTCGATTTTATGGCATTACAACAGGTATTATAAATATTTAAATATTATTTTAAAAATAAAAAATTCTAAATAAATTTAATTTTTTTCTTAAAAAAAGAAAATCAAAGCAACGATTCAAAGAAATATTTGTTAGTGATGGAATACGCCAATAATGGTACTCTTCGAAACTATTT